GCCGTTGAGAAATATGTTCAGTCCAAATGTGGGTATATTAGCTGTCATTTTCTCTTATTACATCCCCTCCACAGTACTATCAGATCCATTTGTTATGTAGTTTCTTGAGGCGTTGCTTTGTTTTATGGCCTGGAACAAAAAAAAGAAAAAAAAAAAACCTGACCAGGAAAGATGATGTATTTAAAGGTTTTATGTTATGTAAGTGAACTTTAAGCCATGTTATAATGTCGTTACCTCTTCCAAAACATAACAGGAGCTGTGTTTTGTTGCATTCACACATTTAAGTAATCATTATTATTATTATGTCTACATCTACAAAGCTCAAAATGCTGTGTTCCACCTTGTGATGTCATGAAGTGGGAGTCTTCTATCTTGTACCTTTAGTTCAGTATCTGCAATTTCAGGGCTGGAATCTTCTTTCTGTTTGACTGAAAAACAAAATATTCAGGATTTGTGTGTTAAACATGTGTGAATAAAACAAAACAAAACTCCACAAAACACTACTGGTTTAGTTCTGTTTTGAACCTGGTTTAGTCCTGGTTTAGTCCTGGTTTAGTCCTGGTTTAGTCCTGGTTTAGACCTGGTTTTAGACCTGGTTTAGTTCTGTTTTAGACCTGGTTTAGTTTAGAGTTTAGTCCTGGTTTAGACCCTGGTTTAGTTCTGTTTTAGACCTGGTTTAGTCCTGGTTTAGACCTGGTTTAGTCCTGTTTTAGACCTGGTTTAGTTCTGTTTTAGACCTGGTTTAGTCCTGGTTTAGTTCCTGTTTTCCTGTTTTAGACCTGGTTTTAGACCTGTTTAGTTTTTAGACCTGGTTTAGTCCTGGTTTAGACCTGGTTTAGTTTAGTTTAGACCTGTTTTCCTGGTTTAGACCTGTTTTAGTTCTGTTTTAGACCTGGTTTAGTTTAGACCTGTTTTAGTTTTCTGTTTTAGACCTAGACCTGGTTTAGTTTAGACCTGGTTTTAGACCTGTTTTAGACCTGGTTTAGTTTTCCTGTTTTAGTTTAGTTTCCTGTTTTAGACCTGGTTTAGTCCTGGTTTAGACCTGGTTTAGTTCTGTTTTAGACCTGGTTTAGTCCTGGTTTAGTTTTCCTGTTTTAGACCTGGTTTAGACCTGGTTTAGTCCTGTTTTAGACCTGGTTTAGTCCTGGTTTAGACCTGATTTAGTTCTGTTTTAGTCCTAGTTCAGTCCTGTTTTAGTCCTGGTTTAATCCTGGTTTAGTCTTGGTTCAGCGACACAAAAGTCCGGCATTGCAGTTTGAGTCACGAAAACGGGAAACAGCCGTTATCTGTTTTTTCCATTATTCATTTAAACCCAAAATCGAAAACTGAAAAAAAAAATATATATTTTGTTTGTTTGTTTGTTTGTTTGTTTTTTTGTTGTGTTTTTTTTTTTTTCTTATTTTTTTTTATTTTGAAAAACAAATGAACGAATGACACACAGATTTAATATGGGCCCTTTAATTATATTGCAATTTTAACTGACGGACCGTTAATGTAATAATGAAGCAAACTGACAATTTTATCCTTAAATTCCAAATGGCTGCTTACTTTTTCTTATAAAGACTTAAAATCACTTGCCTTTAGATCTGATGTTAGTTAATTATTGGAAATGTGTTATGGTCTCCTCCGCTCTATCACAGAATTTTGAATATTCTTGTTAAAGCATTTTAAAAAAGAGTCTATATATGTATTTTGTATACTGGTTTATTTTGTATGTGTGAAGCTGACTGCATCTCCTGGAGTTGGTTAACATGACGTGTCTCATTTGACTCACTGTAAATCTCCAGTGTAATTAAACATGCCGCCCATTAGTCATAGAGGAGAGTGTAACTAGTCTCCTCATGGTCCTTGAGTTATGTTTATCTGAAAAGGACTAACTTTGATGCTAACAAGTTTCATAGCAGTAACATTTTAAAAATATTTCAAATTTGGCTTGATTTTTGGTTGATTATGAGTTTGTGATTTCAGCGTTAACGCTCTGCAAGGAGGTAAACCTTGGCAAACTAGTCCCGGGTAACTGTGATGTTGTGGGAAAGTGTGTTAGACTAAATACTGAAAGATCTTGACAACTTCAACACCCCAAATCTTTTTATTGTGTTCTGATTTTCTTATATAAAAGCCAATTTTGTCAAAAGGTCTTTGGCTGGATTGTTTCCATAGCAACACCTGTCAGCTCGTCCTGTTGTGCCATTGATCTTTTGTGATTTTTGTGTCTGCATCTTCAGTTTTGTTTGGTGCTTTTGAAACCTGTATCATATTAAAATATGGAGTCAAGGGCCATTGGCTTGTGGAAAAACATGTGAACCTAAATACGAACCAACTCATGGGTTTCACAGTGAGGAGAAATCAGGACAGTTGCTATGGCAATTAACAATTAACAATAAAATATTCCATCCGAGGATACATAAAAAAATCACAAACCTTCACGACCCAAGTCAACAGACATTATTAGTAAATCACAAAATAAAGGTGGATTTGACCATTACTGAACATTAATGAGGATATTTTATTGTTGACTGAGTGATCGTGTCTCTCTGAACAATTAGTATAACTTAGGTTTTAAACAATAAAATACAGTAATTGAACCAGCACTAAAAGTATCCATAAGTCACCTGATTGGACATTAAATGTAGCCCATTTTGTTTTGTTTTTTTTGTTTGTTTTTTTTCAACATTCAATTAAACCAGCAATATTGGAACAAAATTGTCAAAAAAAAAAAAAATTACAAAAAGATTAGAAATTATACAAAACATGTCTTAACATTTCAACATTTTTAATGAGACAGGTGCGCGCAACACAAATATCATGTGTAGCATGCAGTCTGTTTTTGTGCTATGTCTTCCTTTTTTTGAGCACAGAAAATCCCAGTTCACACATATATGTAGTAGTGAAAGGAATAAGCATTGAAATACTGGGCCTTCTGAGGACAGAATATTCTGACAAAATGCTTATCCAGAATGACGATAAGGTCACAGATCCATGTATACAACTGTATATTGCAGACCTACATTCGGATTGAGACAAGGCAACCCAAAAAAAATCTCGTGCGACCCAGTCTTTGGAAAACAATGGCTTAAAGTCCTCAGAATGGTGCGTATGGCAAGAAACTGAAACACATGAATTGTAATGCTTTAGTAGACTAAAAAGCATATGTATGTTTTTCTTGTGTGTCACCTTTCATCCTTCATCATGTGCACCCAGCTAAGTCCCATAGTGGCTCATCATGTAACTTACTATTAAATGCATTTCATACAATAGCTGCAATGTAATTAAAATTGAATCAAAAGCATGGTTTAATTTAATTTGTCATAATTTAAAATTCTGATAACACCACTTAGACCTATAGAAAGGTGTTTTAAAATGCATTCAGCTCTAGTCTTGCTTTTTCTGTCTTCCTCTACCAATTTGTACTGCTCCTGGAGTGTTGAAAATGTGTTAAAATTGTCCTGATTTCAAACATAAATGTCAAATTTAACCACATATGAATACAATTTGATGTTGCAATTACAAAATTATTGTTCCAAAAATGTAATATGAAGTCTGAAACCTAGATCAAACTGAATCTAATCTTCTCAGGGGTTTCGGGTCTTGTTATAGGCGACATATGGAGGACTTTTAACTATTCAACTGATATAATATTTGATTTTGAATTGTTAATTGCTATGGAAACAGTCCTCATCTTTCATCATCTAAAACCAATGTAGCATATGCAAATCTGATTGCAAGCCTAATCTTTGTTTATATGTTGTAGTTGATATTAATTGGCTGGGAGTGCATGAACATCAAAGTTGTCCCATTCTAAAGTGTTTGATAGTGATGTCTGTCTACGGGACCCGGGGCTCTGCTGGTTTACCCTGCACTTCAGAGAATCAACACTCTCTTTGTATTTGTGCACGGAGGCTCATTATGGCTCATATCCAGAGGCCCGTGTGCATCGTTTTCAGTTCAAAGGGAAAAACAGCAGAGGGTATGTCAAGCGTGGATGGGTAACTTGTACATTGATTTATGTTGGTCGAAAATATCTCTATGATTTCAGCTCCCCCTCACTAAGCGGAGGAGGGCATGAGTAAAGTGAATATTCTGAATAATGTTAGTAAGTGAGAGTCTGTGCAAATGGCCCACTTGTGTTTGGTGTTTGAAAGCCCTCTGCCCACTGACTTGCCATCATGCTGCACTCTTTTCCATTAATACAATAGGCCATGAGACACCTGCATTGTCTAAAATTCTCACTCATAGACTCACAATAACCTGGATTGTATATTCAAAACATCAGGCATCAAAACATCAGGTTTAGTTTTATATTTATCATAAAATAAAGTGGCTGGTCAAAAATGATTGATTAAAGATTAAATATAGCTGTATTTATACTAGAAATCACATGAATCACTCATTTATGCCTCAGTGGTCTCTGCAAATGCATGATAAACATTAATTGTCGTTGATTTGTGTATTGTATGTTTTATTTCACTGTTCAGCACTTTGGTAAGCTTTGGCTGTTTTATATGTGCTTATACAAATAAATTAAATTTGATTTGATTTGATGCAGCAGCACGGAGCACGGAGTAAAAAAGAAGAAAAAAAAAGTATAAAGTATAAATAAAACATAAACAGGTCAAAAATAGCCTTTAATGATCCTTATTACCACTATAAATAAGTAAGTAATGTGTAATTATGCCTTTAAATGTCCCTTGGATATATATAAAATGATTTAATTAATTGGATATTTTATTTATAGGACCAAGTTCCATAAATATCCACTAGGTGTCACTGTAGGGATAGCAGTGCGTGGTGTTTTTTTTTTTTTGTTTTTTTTTTTTAATTCAACATGTTCAAATACGGGGACGTCGAAGACACACAGAATCACATAAATCACACATACGATACCTGGGGCGATATGAAATAATAAATAAATAAATTAAATTAAATAAATAAATTTAAAAAGCGTGCTGGAGGTGCTCTGTTCTCGCGGGTTTTCCCTCCTCAGATCTCGCGGTGTTTCAGTGCCTCCACAGGTCCATCAGCGCTAGCGACGCTCTGAGGAGGAGATGGCGGCTAGAGGGGGCTTTCAGTCGGCACCAACCGGAGGAGGCGGCGGTCCGATGGGTCCAGGGCCTCCAGTGCCGGGTGCTGGACCGGGCATGGGGCCGGGGACTCCCTCCGGACGGATGGGACCAGGCGGGCCGGCGCAGAACCACATGTACCGCTCTCCGATGCCTGGGCCTGGGTACCCGGTGAGACTCTCCATCTTTGCTCCTCGTTAGCTCCGCGCTAGAACAAAGCCTCCTGCCGCCGCTTTGTCAACAGCGCCAGATGTTTGTTACTGACACGAATGCAATCTGCGAGTTAAACCAATTAGAAAATCCTGTGAAAATGCATCTTACAATAAATGACGAGAGGATCTGGGATGAGCGACTCTTGAGTTAGTTTGTTGTTCGAAACTGCTAACACGCCTGCTAACTCTGCTAGTTCCCACGTTAGCCACTTAGCTTAGCATCCTATGGGAAACTGTGTATCTTCTCTTAGAATAAAGTTTGAATGTTTGATCATATTATCCGAAGATGGTAAGATGTTGGAGAAATTGGCGTGTATATAGTTTAAACTTTTGAATGTATCGATTTTCTCTGAGTCCTGTGCTCTGCTCGGATGAATGAACCACCGCTCCCACATCACATGAGTCCTAGTTTAGTTTGTGCGTCTCACCGATTTGTAAACAATACAAAAATACTCATGCCACATTGGTTTTTCATTTGTTACCAGCATAGCTTTTAGTACAATGTTTTTTTTTTAAATCACAAAGTTGAGCCTTTTTTTTTTGTAAACTATTGTACACTTAAATATTTTACTTAAACAAACTTTATTGCTCCACAAGGGAAGTTATTTATGTTTTGTTATAGGCTCTCTTTTTGTTGGGCACCTTACACATGAAGCATAGCCTATGTTTACAAACAGAGGTTTTAAGTACCTAAAATTAAACTTTGGACTGAATTTGATATAAGCTATATTAAATAAATCTCACAGGGTTTTGCATTTCATTTAGATCTTTTGCCATCTAGTCTATGTCTTCAGTCCATTACACTCACAACTTTTTTTATTTATACCTTTATAAACATTGCCACATTAATTCTTGAACCTTGACTCTGCTATTCAGCCCTGTCACTACTTTCTATCGCACTCCTCGTGTCTTCTATCTATTCACTAACTATGTGCTTTTGCTTTGAACCCATTCAAGCTCTGCTGCTGCTTAGCTACTGACAGCCTCCTGAGTGAAAAGAAACCGCATTATTCCACCACGTCCTTGAACGGCACTCTCGCAAGCCGCTTTTCACCGCAGTCAATGGCGCCGCGTTCCGTGAATACCGCCGAGCTCTAGTTGTTCTCACCGCGACCAAGGTTTTGCTGCTGTATGTTGTAAAGACTAAGTGATAAGCATGCCATTCCTTTTGTGCCTTCTGCGAGCGGTGTGCAAACCTTATATTCATCCTGCCTTTATTGACCACGCTTCTCTTGCCAGTCTCCTCTCCTCTGTGGATGTCTAGATTCTCGTACTGCAACAATCTCCCATTAGCAGGACTCTCAACAAAGCAAACAGGCTTATATTACCATTATTTTTATTTGTTGGTATCATGCAATCGGACACAAGGAGCCGTCTCTTTGAATTTCTTGCGCATGGACTGGTGAGTTGGTTAAGAAACTAGCGGGGACCTTATTTTATGACCAACTTGTTGCTTTTAGATGTTACGAGGTGGGTTGTAGATTTGGCATTGAAAATCGGTTGTTTTTGCTTTGAGTACAAGGTAAATATTGTTGTTATAGCACGCATACTCTTCCGACGTAATTGCGATTCTAGGTCAAATGCATGAATAATGGTGGAATTGTGTTGTGTCACGCTATGTCCCTGCTTTTCTGCTCAAGTGGATTCCTTTTGACCTTGTGAATTGTCGCTATCAAGAAATCTTGTGTATGTTTTGTCTTTATAGCAAGCTGAGTTGAGATTACCGTTCCAAAAGATGGTATAAAATTGCATTAAAAGCACCGTAACATTGTTTTAATTTTTAAAAACTGAATCCACATCGCAGTTTTAGCAGTTTCATTACAGCCAACATAATAACCGGCAGTTCGATTTCACGGCATTTTTGTCAGAAGTGATACTAAGCTGACACATTGTCAATGCCGATTTTTGGTTAAAGGACCTGGTCACCATAGCAACAGATCAGCCTTGTTTGATCTGCCTTTTTTCTGTCAAAAATTGAAAAGGGAAGATTTTTTGTCTAATACTTTGAATATTCCTATGATTTTGAGGGCTTTTGTTAATTTAAAGATTATAGTTTTTAAGGTTTAAATTGTCAATCGCTATGACGCTGGTTCTAATTTTTTATCTAAAACCTATGGTCATTCGGAGTTGGTGTGGCATAATACTCATTCAGATAATTAAAGGAACCCTTTCAGAACTGTTGTCAGAGGTTATTTTATAGTAGGGATGCATTGGTACTGATGATGGGATCTAATATCAGCGCTGAATCGAGTATTGGTTCCATGATATTGGGTCAGCTGATGTCGTGGTTGGACTCTTTACTGACTGATGTAGAATTAGGGCATCACATAATGTTTGAACTTTATTTCATAGAAAACTGTTCAGGAGTTACTTGCAGAATACACAACTTGCATAACACAATCAGATACATTTTGTAATACATTAACTTTGTTTGGAGAGAAAAAATACAATTTTTGATTCCTACACTGGTATATGTTAATTTCAGCAGATACTAAAACTCATAGTATCAGTATCGGCATCAGAACTGAAAAAGCTGGATCTGTGCACCCCTAATTTATAGCTGAAATTATGCAAGTTCACCACATTGTATTTGTTAAAATGTTAAGCGAGAAATGTTGTCATGAAGTACATTGACATAATAACGTTTCTTTTCTTGTATGCCATTTCCAGAGACCAGGCATGCCCCCTTCCAGCAGAATGACCCCACAGGGACCAGCCATGGGGCCTCCAGGATACGGGGGGAGCCCTGTGTCTCGGCCTGGGATGCCTGGAGTTATGGATCCCTCCCGCAAGAGACCTGCTCCCCAACAGATACAACAGGTGCAGCAGCAGAGCAGGAACCAGCAGTAAGTTTCCCTCCTATGCTTTTCCTCATGGAGACGTTATTACTTTGGAATGTTTCACAGTATGGTCGTAAACCTTTCTATCTTCATGAAGATCAAACAGGTCTAAGTTACAGGTCAGATCTGTGGAGAGGCAGCCCCACTCACAGTCACAATGCCTGTTTTTCAAGGTATTTTTGAGCAGTAACGCCACCTGTAATTGGAAAAAAAAATGTAGAGTTGAGCTGTTTAATGTCATACTGTGGAACTTTCCAGGCAGAGCAGCGACATATCCATAGAAACAAGCAGGTGATGGACCCCCAACCAAAAAGTTACATAGTGCACCTTTTAAATAATACAGAAACCTATTCATATGCAAGTCTGTAATGTCTGCTAAAACGTACAAGGAGGGCTCTGTGCTGTTACTGTAATTACTCTGTGTGGTTAGAAATGGTACAAACTGGATCAACCTGTTGCGGTCAAGTGCTTTTACACTTTAGTTGTAAGGCCTTGTCATCTAAAATATACCCAAACTAAAAATATGTCCGCTGTACTATTGTATTGTTAAAAAGGCTTGTCACCATAACAGACTTTGAAGCACGATATTTTGCTACAGAGAGATACTGCGATGATATCGAAACTACATTGATACAATAATGTAGGATAATCCCAGTAAACCAATTTTAAATAGACATTATTCATAAACGGCATGAGCTGCAACAAATAATAACAGGATAAAGCAAGACATTTTCAAATCTCTACAGCTCAATATTTTTCATGTTACAACAAAAATACCAAAAATCTCCCCAGTTTTGCAAAGAAACTGTACACACAATACATTTTGAGCCCCAAAGTATATTGTTCCAGCTTTCATATCAAGTTGATATAGTAATTATTGTGACAGGCTTTGTAAAATCATAAAGAACAATCATACTGTCAGTTAGGGCTGTGCAAATAAAATTTTAGTTAAGATGGATGTAATTTCTAATCGTCAATGATCAGCTTGGGTCTTTTTTGAATGGAGAGTTTACAGCCAATCCTCCGTCAGTAAAAGCAGAGTTCAGACTTTGGGGTAGAATATTTAAATAGGAATTATTAAGTCTCTTGTTTATCTTCAGCAAACTAATATTGCAAGCCTTGTTTATAAAATCACATTGAAAAACATGATCAGTGAATATCAGGAAGGAAAAAAGTGGTTATTTTTTTCATATCGTCCAACCCTAATCATAACTATGTATGTCATAATCATGATTGTGGGAAACATGGACCAGCGTGGGTAGAGTTTTTTGTTTTTCCTTGAGTGGTGCATAAAAGAGAAAGCCACAGTCTGTGTGAATGTTCATGTATGTTAGCTTCATAATCAATAACAATCATAATAAAGTGTGTCATAGTTATGATTAGGGCAATTTAAAACTATGACATAATATATATTGTAATTTGTCATCTTAAAGAGGAAATAAAGTGTCTTTGCTTGAGGATTTGTGAGGGAGAATAAGCACTTGTATCATTTATTTTAACTTTTTTAGTGTAATTTATTGATGTAGCCATTCTAATCGCAAATTAAAATGTCATTAGTAGCAAAGCCCTAACTAATAAAATTGTGAATAATGTCCTCATAGTTGCACCAAATTCCTCTCGGTCATTTCAGTCACAGCTTAAAGGGCCCATATTACACTTTTTTCTGATCTGTTATAGTGTTGTTTCCTCATCACAAACATTCCTGGAGTTGTTTTGTTTTATTCACAAATGTGCATCTTTAGGCTGAGTTCTTCTCTGAAACTGAAAACACTCTATTCCACCTTGTGATATCATGTGGCAATACAGGAAGTGCTCCACTGTGTTTTTTAAACCCGATACACCTTCACGAGAATCATTTGGATAATTTCAGACCTAGAATTGCCAATCTCTACTGAATAAAAGGTAAAGGGTAGCTGTTAACGTCTTAAACTACCACTTCATGACGTCACAAGGAGGAGCAGAGCATTTTGAGCTTGGAGATGTAGACTGGTCTGTTTTTGATGAGGTAACAATATTATAACATGTCTTAAAACTCACAAAACTCAATTTTACATCATGTAGGACCTGTCTAGATTTGAGATTTCCCCCTCATTGAGTTGATGTATTGTAGTTGTGCGTCGCTCTTAATGAAAATCCGATTCAGATTTTATGGACCATAATGATTTAATTTTCTTTCCAAATCAGCCTCAATTCATCTTTCTGTTGTTAATGTGTTTTTACAGCACAAAGAAGAAGAAGATGGCTGATAAAATTCTACCTCAGAGGGTGAGTCTTAAGAAAACAACGGGCACAGAAATCCATTATCTTTGGCCTTGAATTGTTTGGGGGAGGAAGTGCTCACGGCCTAAAAATACTTCTCAAAAGCTACAATAGATTAGTAGAAATCTCTTTTGGTATTTTGTGATTGAATTTTGTTAACGCGGGTCTGTGGTATGCAATCTACAATCTTCAAGTCAAACTGAACAGTATTGCAAATTGTGTGTTTCCAAATTGCAAGTAGCCAGTGTCTTTGCACCTTCATGACAAAAAAATATTTGTATTTGAGATTTGATATTCTGTTTAACTGAAACTTGTTGATATATTGATTGATTGATTGATTTTTCTCAAACCTGTTATTAATCAGTGTCGCTATGAGTTATTCCCTGTCAGTTAAAGGTACACTGTGTAATTTGTGGAGACTTGCAAGACAAATTACAGGTTAGTTTTGTGGAGAGGCGCCCCCACTCACAGCAAGAATGGATGTTTTTAAAGATATTTTTAGCACTAAATAACAGCTGTAGTTGAATAAATCCAAAACAGATTAGTTTAATGCCATACTGTGGAAATTTAAACCAAAACATTAACATTTCCAAACAGGTTGCGGACCCTCTCCTGAAAATTACACAGTGAACCTTTAAGTAAAAACACTAAAAATGTTCACCACAAAAAGGCAAAATGGTTAATGATAATTTGTTGTTTCAGATTAGGGAACTAGTCCCAGAGTCTCAGGCTTACATGGATCTGCTGGCGTTTGAGAGGAAGCTGGATCAGACCATCATGCGCAAAAGACTGGACATCCAGGAAGCTCTCAAGAGGCCCATCAAGGTAACACTTAGATTTAGACTTATCAGTTAAAGAGAGAAAGATGAGTGCTTAAGTGGGTCAGTCAAGTTTCAGGTCAAGTGCTCATCGGGATCACAGTGGAAAAACTACACTTACATGCATTACTTGCATTAAAAAGTTCTTTAATATATAAAACTGGGCTAGCCTCTGCGTTTGGCCTTCTTCAGGGCATACGCTATACATAAAGGACTTAGTGTAGTTGCAGTGCCTTTTTAAAAAAAATAATCGTTAAGTTTATTTATTTATTTTGCACATGACAATAAAAAAGAAATACACTAGATAAAAAGTAGGTGCCGGAAGAGGCAAAAAACCCAATAGGGCTTATATTAAAGCCTCCACCTTATGAACACATTAAAAATTTTGCATTATCATTGTGCATAAAAATATATATATAGAAAAATGACATTTAAACAACCATGGATTAAATTCTTTTGATTCAAACATGGATTAAAACACAATGAAACATTCATAATTGAAAGATTATCAAACATTAGCATGAAATATCAAACATTTCCTCTTTTTAAACAACACCTCTGAACTGCCATCACTAACCAGATGTGAAAACTGGCTCCAGAATTTCCAGATTTCCAAAGTTTACAACTGAAGACCAAGTTAGTTTACCTGCTTTACATGTTTCAGATTCTTCCTGTAGTCTTTCTCCGTGTCATGTGATTGTGTAGTGACATGTCTTGCAGTTCACTTGCATGGTTTTATTGCAAAGGAAGGATACCTTACACCCCCCTACGTCTCCTGTTGAAACATGTACAGCAAGTAAACAGACTCCTCTCTGACAAAAGAAGTGTTAGTTGTACATAGACATTGTTAATTAATCCACCCAGGAAATATAAAATGATTATTTAAATTATTCATATTTTACAACACCTTTTGGTACAATAACATTAGTAGAACATCATACACTGTACTGACTCATTGAACTCTGGCTTGTTACATTGGTACATTTTTTTCTCATGAAATCATCAAGCACAATTTTTTTTTAACCTCAGACTGAGAGGAGAATTAAATACTCTACATTACATTGATTTGCTTTTTAACTAAAAAAGAAAATTTTCATAATTAATATTGAATAAATAATTAAAATGAATACAAATAAAGATAATAAAATAGCTTTTAATTACTGAGAGTGAATAATTTTGAGTGTATACCTGTGCAATTATGCTTTCTTTTTCCCAATAGTTTTTGGTATAACAATTGCTAATGATTTATTCTATGCCTGTTTCAGCAAAAAAGAAAGCTTAGGATCTTCATATCCAACACCTTCAACCCGGCCAAACCTGACGCTGAGGACGGAGAAGGCACTGTTGCCTCCTGGGAGCTGCGAGTTGAGGGACGTCTGCTCGAAGATGTAAGCGAACGAGCCGTCATCGCCAGCGTGTGACTTACTTCAATACCTGAAATGCCTTTTATCTTGTTTTGCAGTCTGCTGTGTCCAAGTACGAGGCCACCAAACAGAAGAGAAAGTTCTCTTCTTTTTTCAAGTCTCTGGTGATCGAGTTGGACAAGGATCTGTACGGTCCAGACAATCACCTCGTGGAAGTAAGTTCATCAGATTTAATTAACTTTTGTATTGATTGATAATGTAATAACTTCGCTTCCTGTGTTCCTTTTTAATTGGTTTGTTTACCAGACCTTGATGAAAACAGTGGCAACGCGCTGAATGTGAATAAGGCTATTTTGTTTAAAGATTTATTTGTTAAAGCTCCAGTTAGGGCAGCGGGCAGATGTTCAGACGTCGTCATAGCAACAAAATGAAAATAAATGAGGGAATTATGCAGCATGTTTATGATTATTCAGGCTGGTAGTGAAATTTTTTATGGAAGTATTTTGTTTATGCTACAAAAAATAACTACACTGTTGTAACTGGAGACATTATGAAGGACAGAATGAAGGAGTGTTCAGGGCATCATGAAACTAGAACAACCTTAAATTCCTCTCCCTCACAAATTTTGCGCTGAAATTGAATTTTAATAGTTTTATTGGTCTTCTGTCTAGTTATCTGGTATTGTAATTAATTTGGCTCTATAAACGATTAGACAAGGAGCCATTTTCATTCTTGATATTAAATGAAAACTCTGTGAATACACTTACACTAAAATGAGTAATGGCTTCCTATTTATAGCTTTTGGTTAAATTGGTGTAAAATATATTAATAGTTATGCAGCTCTAGGGGGCTTTTTGGTTAAATATTTGTCATGTATTCGGGATCAACATTTAAGTAATCTCCACTTTTATAGTGCCTCAGGTTTTACTGTTGCAATGTTTGGTGTAAAAAATGCTTATTGTTATCCCTATCTAGTCTTATGAAGTTGTGGTGTTGTCTTAAAGATACAGCATGTAATGTTTTAGCTACAAAATAGGCAAAAATTAAAGTATGCTTTTAACTCCATTTCCATCCGGTCATGCAGGTGATGTGCCACCTCCACACAATGACATACTCTACCTTTTTTAAGTTATGATCTTGCTTTTAGATTGAAATTGGTATCTTTACTCTGTGATTACTGACCCAAAATGCCCAGTAGGGTTGGGACAAGTCTGTTTTGTCATAATTTGGCTCTTATTTTGATGCATGGGTCACAATTTGATTCGATTTTTTACTATACTTTTTCCTTTTTATTATTTGGTAAATAAAACTGAACTTTTCAATGAAACATTAACCTTTAGCATGAATGTAGTCTATATGTGATAACCCTTGAGTTAATTCTGTTTAGTTTAATGATTTATCCTACATCTTTTGTATTTTTGATAATTGAAAAAAACAAAACAATGCTCTGTCTCATCAGGAGCATGTGGTTTATATCAATGTTTCCCCTTTTTTTCTGGGGACCCATATTTTAAAAATCACAAACCTTTGTGACCCAAGTCAATAGACATTATTCGGAAATCACAAAATAAAAGTGGATTTTGACCATTAATGAGGATATTTTATTGCTAACTGAGTGATCGTGTCTCTGAACAATTAGTATTACTCAAGTTTTAAACAATGAAAAACAGCAATTGAACAAACTATAAAAGGATCCATAAGTTGCCTATTTGGACATTAAATGTAGCCCATTTCTTTTTAACATTTGAAAACCATTTCACCATTTGAACCGGCAATATTGGAACAAACTAGTCACTAAAATAATTACAAAAAGATTAGAAATTATACAAAACATTTTTCAACCTACATGCAGATCGTGACAAGGCAACCTAAAAAAAATCTTTTGCAACCCACCCTTTGGGGAAACAATCGTTTATATTATGCTACTTATAGACTAATAAAACAAAAAATGTCCCTTTCTTCTCAGTGGCACAGGACGGCCACCACCCAGGAGACAGATGGTTTCCAGGTGAAGCGTCCTGGAGATGTGGGCGTGCGCTGTACTGTGCTGCTCATGTTGGACTATCAGCCCCCTCAGTTCAAACTGGACCCCCGCCTGGCCCGTATGCTGGGCATCCACACCCAGACTAGACCCGTCATCATCCAGGCTCTGTGGCAGTACGTCAAGACCCACAAGCTACAGGACCCCCACGAGAGGGAGTTCATCAACTGTGACAAGTATCTGCAGCAGGTCAGTTGTCAGTCATTTTGTTTCAGATTTCAAATTGTATTATACTGACTTTCTGAAGGTTCATTGTGTAACTTTTCTGGTGGAGGGTCCTGTAAAACTGCAGCACCACTCTGCACAATGCCATTTTGTGTGCACAGAAATTGGAGTTGACTTTAGCTCATAGTCATGCATACATTACTTTACATCTGGATTACCAAAAACTGCAAAGTCAGACAAAGTATTTTTACATATTAATTTAAGTTAAAGGTTACAACAATCCTTCCCATTACCATGTGTACATTTTCCGTTAAATATACTTAGTACAGCTAATCCCAACTGCCATCCAAATCCTCGCTCTGATGTTGAACACTTGCGTTCCTTTCTCCTTGTTTGGGGAGAGCTGTGTCCTGGTAAATGTCTGAACTATTTGCCAACATAAACAGACAAAATGAATACTGACGATTAATTCAAATAGCACCACAATAAATAGTATGTTTTATGTCACAAAGTCATAACTACTGGAAATACTGAAAAAAGGAATTGCTTCCTGACTTCCTAATCTGCAAAAAAATTGACTCTTGAGAGCTTGAAGCCATGTTAAAATGTAAAAAATAATTTTAAAAGTACCTGGAAAGTTTTATTTCATTTGCATGTTTGAGTAATCCTGCATTACTCTGTATCTCCAAAGCTCAAAATGATCTTTTCCACTTTGTGATGTCATGTAGTGGTAGCCTTTGTAATCCCTTAGTTGTCCAAGTAGGAACCATAACAAACAAATTCAGTTCTGTCACGTGACAAGTTTTGTCCAGTTGACACAGCTGATTTTTTTTTACTCATGTAGAGATAGTTTTAAAGTTGACAGATACTTTTTACCTTTATAGTCCAGCAGAGTGGGAAATTCCAGGGCTGAAATCATCCAAATGATTCAAGTGAAGGTGTATGGAGTTTCAAAACACAGTGGAGCACTTCCTGTATTACCGCATGACATCACAAGGTGGAACAGAGCATTTTCTGTTTGAGAGAAGAACTCAGCCTAAATAAGCAGGGTGGTAAATGTGTGTCAATGAAGCAAAACAAAACTCCAAGTCTGTTAACATACAACAGATCAGAAAATGGCGTAATATGGGCTCTTTAATACTACTACTGCCATTTCTGTTTCTACTACTGCAATAATTACTACTATTACTGATACTAATACTGTTACTACTTTCCAGATATTTGAAACTCAGCGGATGAAGTTCTCAGAGATCCCACAGCGCCTGCATGCCCTCCTCATGCCCCCAGAACCAATCATCATCAATCATGTGATCAGGTGACCTTGTCCGCCCATTCACTTAATTCTGCTCCCATTTTAAATACGCACTCTAAATGAACTCTTATATCTCTCCTCTCTTTTATAGTGTCGACCCAAATGACCAGAAGAAGACGGCGTGCTATGACATTGACGTGGAGGTGGACGACACGCTCAAGACTCAGATGAACTCTTTCCTGTTGTCCACGGCCAGTCAGCAGGAGATCGCTGGGCTCGATAATAAGGTGAACTTGTAATGTCAATCATTTGTGTGAATTTGTAAAACGAGCCTCATGAGCTTTTTGCAATATATGACCTTTTTCTGCATTTTGATAAAGGTGAACTGTGCAACTTGCTTTTCATGGGGAAGTTGTTGCTTTGCCTGAAATGTTCCAAAGTATTGCATCAAACTTTTAAACTTCTTATTTAACTACAGGGGATGTTACTGTCTTGAAAAACATGCATTCATACTGAGAGCAGGGTCACTTCTCCACAGATCAGACCTGTAAATTGGACCAGTAGTGTCACCTGCTTGACTCCATGGAGAAGAGACGATGACCTTCCATCAAAAAAGTTACACAGTGTACCTTTTTAATGTTAGTAAGCAAAGACAAGAATCCAGACTTATTAGTTGAGATGTACATACAAACCCCAGGGATCATCAAACTAAGGCCCGGGATCTGACTCCGGCCCTCCATTGCCCTTTGACCGGCCCCTCTGCCCTCACCACTTGAACTGGCCCTACAAGACAATCCTCAAAAGTTGTCATGGGCTATTTATTTTTTTAATAACTTTTTGACAAATAACATGTCTGCATCTTGTATTTTGTTGCTTTTTTCTATTAAAAATTATGAAGCATTTATATTTAAATAATTATATGACATATTTACATTTACTGCTGAATTTTCGTCACCTGACAAGCTCGAGATCAACAGTGAGAGTCAACACACACGCAGAGTTCTGTAGAGCAGTTAAGGCCAGCAAAATGACTCATGTTAAAGTACAAAAAGTTGACAGAGTGCAAAGTTTTCAAAGAACCGAGAACAACCGATTTTTTATTTTATTTTTTTTCTCAGTGTAAGGGCCGTGCAGTTTGATATGTAAAGAAAGTGTGGCGGTTTTCAACTAATATAATCTGCGTTGTCAGGGTCATACAATTCTGTTATACGGCCCCCATCACAGTCAGGAGCGATAATGTGGACCCCAGAGAAAAACGTTTGGTGACCCCTGCTATAAACCATGCTATGGCAAATATCAGTCAATACTAGAGCAAAGGGCACGTATCAAACCAGGTCTATGCTGGTACTAAACCCGAAACTAAACTTGAATCAGACCAGGGCCAAATCAAGGCTACACAAAGACTACATTGGACTTAAACCAGAGCAAATCAAGTGTGAACCCACCGTCAAAGAACATAATCATTCACGACAAACTGATAATAGAAAAAACATCTTCAAATATCTGTTGGGTCACATTTAATAAAAGCTCAAATATTCTGGTATAACATTTATTCTTATTATCCAAACCCTGAGACTGGAACCAGTACCAGTATCTCTGGGTTAGGTTAATTTGCCACTTTGTAGTTTAAAAAAAAAAAAAAAAAAAACATGTGAGAAAAGCTCAGTGTGCACCATGAGACTTGAGAAAAATAGGTGAATCCCTGCTTCTCTACATAAGTTATGGAAAGAATTGGTCTTTGCTCTCCAGTTTAAATATGTTTTAATTAAGAAAACCTCTTTGTACCGCACTTAAATTTGATCTCCATTATCTGTGTAACCTCCGCTATTCTTTCTGGAGTCATTTTTCTGGCAGTAGAGTCCATTTGGCACTCAAACTTTTCTGGCGTCATCCAAATTTTAATCCGCTCTCACAAAACCATCAGCTGCACTCCTGAATACCATCTTTGTTAATAAGGCCATTCAGATGTCCATTAAAAGACAATTATGTAATAACTGTTGACTACAATTATTCTTTTATTCAATATGGTGGTCTTATAAAAACTGCAATCCAACCAGGAAGCTTTCCAGTGATGTTATGCATGTTCCATTAGGCAAATCTGTTTCTGGCAATTCCCAATTTAATTTGTTTTATATTAAGTAAAATGCGCACTGTGATAAAATTGTGGCTGTATAAAGATGAAACGAATCTCAAATAATTGTTCTCACTGGGGCTCCACGATATCGAATTATAATCTACGTTTGAGTTGGAGCAATGATCAAACCACAAAGACGGCAATTATTTAGTCATAGAATGTCCTCTACAAAAAAAAAAATGAAATCTGCTTGTATCTGTTGTTTAGAACTCTACAAACATCCTGAAATTCTTGGATTCTTGTATTAGTTTCATATCCGTTTATAATTATTAATCCTCTTGGACGAGTTTACAATGTGCACTCTGAAGAGAATCACACTTTGTAAGCATAAAGTGCAAATATAATGACAATTGCAAGACATTTATTTATTAAATTAGCAATATGTTGTTTTTTTTAATGATTTGTCTTGGTTTCATATCTGTTTATAATATTAATGCTCCTGGACTAGTTTACAATGTGCACTCTGAACAGAATCACCCTTTTTAAACATAAAATGCAAATACAGTACTTAACTTTGCAATATTTAACAGAAAATTGGCTACAGGTTTTGTTGTTTTCTTTTTTCATAATAATGCAGCCCTAAATCTCACTTCTCTATTCTGTTATTTCAGTGATTAAAAATGCAAGATTGACATTAACAAAATTGTTTTATAAATTTGTCTTAGATCCACGAGACGATTGAGACTATAAACCAGCTGAAGACGCAGAGGGAGTTCATGCTGAGTTTTGCTCGAGATCCTCAGGGCTTCATCAACGACTGGCTGCAGTCCCAGTGCAGAGACCTCAAGGTGAGTGTTGTACTGCAGTGTGGGAGCCGGGCGAACCGCTAGGGGCTTCAGTGGGACTAAATACATACACATTTATATAAACATGTGGATGCAATAGTAGTAGTCTTGTGAAAGTGAAGTAGTTAAAACTTGTATTATCATCTGCATAAGCAAAATGAAGCGTGATATATTGCTACCCAAATATAATGTGATATTGCAATAAAGTTCTCCATTGGAAGTAGAATATCATTTTTGCTTTGTTTTGGTCTTGGTTTAGTTTTTACTTTGACACATTTGACTTTTAAATCAAGACTACTGAGCTCAAAAAGTATATAAAAATACTACAATATGATGATGGGTTTTTTTTCTCAGCCGTAAACCAAATAAAGCCGTCTATGGAGGATACAGAAATCCAAATTTGAAAGCTTTGAATTTGGAATTGGGAACATTGTGATTCATTTTACAAAACACTATTTGAAAAGTCTGTATAGTTAAAAAATGCAGCCCATAAAATCTAGCCCTGCTGTGACTGTTATCTAGTTAAAGGTAAATGAAGCAGTGCTAAGAAAAGTCAGAGCCTGAGAATGAGTTGGATTTATTTTGGTATGTAAGGAATTATGTTTGGAAGAAGAGCTGTGTCATAGTGACTTGTCCAAACTTAAAAGACTGACTTTATTCATGTTGTTCATTTCCTGGATTAATATATTTCAGATATTATCTTTATGAAAACACTTTTGTATATAAAAAAAAACTGTATATTACATATTTTCCCTTTTTTCTCTAGACCATGACTGATGTGGTGGGAAACCCCGAAGAGGAGAGAAGAGCAGAGTTTTACTACCAGCCCTGGGCTCAGGAAGCTGTTTGCCGCTACTTTTACTCCAAGGTAAATTACAAGATAATCTACTAAAATAAAGTGGAGATTAGGGATGCACTGATCTGATCCTGGTGTCGGATATCAGCGCAGATGTTGAAAAATTTGCTGGATCGGCTATCTGCTTCCAAATATCAGATCAGCAGATATCCTTGTTGGACTTGTGAATTGAGTTGCGTATTAAGATTTTTACTGGTTGTAGTTGGCCCAAAAAATCTCAATGTTTGAAGTTTTATTTATACAAAGTTGTTCTGTGGTTACTTCAGAGATGAATTGGTGCATCTCTAGCGGAGATTCAGATATGCCATTCTCCTTTTAGTGCTAAAATTGCCTTCTAACTAGTATCAAATTCATGAAACTAAATAAACTGAATGTACAGATTTATTAAAACAAAAATATTAGAATATATTAAAAATTGTGCAACAAAGTTACCCCAAGCAACTTTTCAAGTAACTGTAAGGGTTTTCTTGCTCACACATTCAGTTAATTGTTATGAAACTATTTTATTGTTCAGTATTTGTTTCTGAAAATGTGTTGAGTAAACCTTTGTAACTTGTGCGAGTATAAACTTTTAATGAGCCTAAACCTAATTTTGTAAATTCCTCTTGAATCTTTTGGTGAGACTATTTGCTGCCATAGAAACCTTTTTACATGTACCCAACACCAGCCAAGGCAGCAGGGGAAATCTGATGCCATGAATGAGAATTTGTACGTTGAATGTATTCACTAGCAAGGACGACAATCCTCAGAATGAAAAAATATCCATCTATAATATAAAAAGCAGGATGATATTGCAAAAAAGAGATTTATTTCATGAACATAAAAACGACAGACCTTTTATCAGTGTCATTTAAAGGGCCAGTACCTGATTTTCCCATATATTTGAGCAAAATGTATCTTGCCCTCTTTAGATAAATTGTATAAGCAGCTCTTGAGGTCAAAATAAGACTGTCTGACTATCTAATTAGAAAGCGTTTTAATGTTCAGTAATCAGGAAGAGTGTATTACCATGCTAGTTATTAGATGTAGAATCATGGTAAACCTGAGGACTGGTCTCAAAGCTGTGAAAAACGCTCATAAACCCATCATGGTGAATATTTAGGATGCTCAAAATGCACAGGGTATGTAAGGAAAAACTTTGGACCACTGCAAACTGTTTTAAATGAACTAGTTCTGTTTTTCATTTTAAGACAACAACAGGGTAGCTGTGGGGTCTTAAAAGTCTTAAAAAGGTCTTCAATTTCATGTTCCTAAAGTAAGGCCTTAAAAAGTTAAATTATGTTGTCCAAGTCTTATTTTTCTCACAAAGGTGTCAAATTTCATTAGCATATTGTTTTGTATACTCAACTGCAGTGCAAAGTTAAATGGAGGGAGGGGGGAAAAAAACAACAATGTGAAATCATGTGCATTAACGTCTAATTTGGAGTATGCACAAAATACTTCGGTTTCTGGCACCAACGGCAATGAGTAAACAATCAGTACAGCAGAGGAAGACGTTGCATGGATCATGGGGAAGTGTAGGTTTAATCCACAGTGGCTCTTAGATTCTAGATATAGTAGTTGGTTGGTCATTATTAGAACTGGATCTGGTGTTTGTCGCTCGCATAATTGGTGCGATGTTGGTCTTAATTTTCATTTAAAGGTTGTATAGAGGATTTTTTAAAGGAAGAGAAATACAGCGACAGTCCTTTTTCAAATGTTGTGCATGCGTGACACCACCTTCCTCCTCCACAGCTCCCTCAGTAGAAACACCTCCTCCCGCCTCCTTACTCCAGAAATCACGCTTGTTTACAGCCAGTGCACGTTCAGAATTACTGTTGAAGTGATCTGTTTAGAAATAATTTATCGACCGACGCGTCAGTTTTTAGACCCTTTGTCTGCTTCAGTCGCGCCATCGCTGGAAGGAATCTCCAAGAATCACCTCAGTTTGTCTTTGCGCCTTTTCCCCTTCTCTTCTTCTTTGAGGGACCTCATAATCAGACTTTCTTTTGCGGCGAACTGGTCATGGATTCTCGTCCGCCATCGCAACAAACTTTGTGCAAACTGCGAGGAAGCTACAGTTTGAAAAAGCCTCTAAGAACCGCTGCATAAACCACGTAATCCCCATGTGCCTGCGAGTCATTTACACTAAAAATGTAGGGAGTTTGATTGACAGCCTAACAGCCAATAGAAAATGAGGTAGCCTTGTTTTCTATTGGCTGATGTCCACAGTTGATAGATTTTCTTTTTTTTTTTCTTTGGTCATTATATTTACAAGGCTGCTGCATCTCTGTAATGGTATTTTAAACTTTCATCGACAATTTGAAACAAAAAAAATAAAAATAAAATCCTCCATACAACCTTTAAGTGGTCTTAAAAAGGTCTTAAAGTCTTAAATTTGGGATAGTCAAACCTGGGGATACTCTGAACAAAAATCTTGCACAGCACCTTTTTAAACACTCAAAGAATAGTTAAATCTTCCTCCAAAACCGTAACTCTACTCCAAACCACACTGACACAGGACCGGCTGTGGACCTCTCTATTAAAATCACCCAGTCCTAATAAGGTAAGCTTCAAAAATAACATTGCCGATTTTTGTTTTTATAGGTCCAGCAGAGGAGACAGGAGCTGGAGCAGGCACTTGGCATCAGGAACACTTAGAGAAATCTCCACACAAAGATGGCGTTTCCAGACGATTCGAGTACAGCCAATGGGGGAATGAACTTCGATTAGACACTAGTTTGTTCATGTTAATTGATTTGAATGTTTTGGTTGTCATTCTATCTTAAAGGCGTATTCCCCGCTAGATTTCAACACATGTAATTCGTTTGCATGTTGTAGCCTTAACCCGGAAGCATTCCTTTATAATTGTGATATGTTGGGACAAAGTGTATAGAAATTACAAGGGCCTATATTACACTATTTTCTGATCTATGTTATAATGTTGTGTCCTCATCACAAACAGACCTGGGGTTTTGTTTCGTTTTATTCACACGTTTAACTCTGCATATTTAGGCTGAGTTCTGCTCTCAAGCGGAAAACACTCTGCTCCACTGTGTTTTTATGCTTTTATAAACCTTCGCTGGAATCATTTGGATAATTTCAGACCTGGAATTGCCGTCTCTACCATAGAACTGTAATAAAATCTGGAAGATGAATCCAAGATGGCACGGTATTGTTTTCAGTGGTCTGTGCTCAATGGCGTTTGGGCGCAAAACAAAATTTTCACTTCCACATTTACGTGCGTGGAGCTTTTGGACCAATCAGAGCGAGAGTTGCTAGAGCGGGCTGAGAGTGAGGCTTGCAAAGGTAACTTTTAGGCGCTTTGAGGATTTAAAAATGTATTTAAGTTTACATTGTGAAAATAGAAAAGAATCCCTACAAAATCCAACCTTTGTGAAAGTTGTCGAGGCTATGTTAGCTGAACATGGGCAGTTTGAATTCCCAAAAAATGCATTGTGCTTCTATGGGAGAATTTTTTTTTTTCCGGGCCAGGAGCTGCAGTACCTGAAGCGGCCACTAGTCAGTCTCAAACTGGAACAGAGGGGGAGTGCCTTATTCAGTTTTTATTATAGATCCATGGTCTCTATGAACAAAAGGTAAAAAGTTAGCCTGATTCATCGTCAGGTTTCACTTCATAGAAACCGTTTGACTACGCAGCGTTAGAATTCGTTCACTCGATGGTAGATGGATACTTTTTTTTTTTCATTTGACCAATCGCTGCTATTTGGTCTTGACGTATGTAATGCACCGCTGACGGGGCTAACTGTTATATTAAGCTTTTCCCAAATCCCATAGGAAGAAGGGCAATAACATCTTCAGTGAAATTTACCAAACATTCTCTTTGTTCTGGCTTTAAATCCTCGATCTCTGGAATCGTTGTCAACACAGAATGTATGACTCTTCACTGATTGGTTGGTGGCCGAACTCGCACTTCGGGAGTTCTTGCAAACCGTCCATTGTATTCTGATTCCTGAACTAGAGAAATTAAATTGAGCGGAGGTACTAGGTGGCGCCAGTCTGACTTGTAAAAAGTAGCTGTTGACTTAAACTACCACTTCATGACATCACAAGGTGGAACAGAGCATTTTGAGCTTTGGAAATGTAGACCAACTTGTAAAGAGTTACTCAAACATGTGTGAATGAAACAAAACACAACTCCAGGTCTGTTTTTGGTGAGGTAACATTATAACATGAGACAATTTGTATAATGTAGAACCTTTAAAGTAATTTGAACAAAACTATTACAACATTGCCCTTAAAATGTATTGTGATTGGTTAAAATGTGTAGTTATTACAAATGAATCCGCTATTTTAAAAAGCAAATTATTCATAGTAGTGCCATTTTGTATTTTTTGTACTTTTGCGTTTAGAAGAAAAAAAAAAAAAAAACTTAACTAAGATGTCAGTCTTGTTGGTTAGTACAGATTATAAAGGAAGTAGTAGTAGTTTCGAGTACCTCTCTAGTCTTTACTATATAGTTTTGTAAATACTGCAACTGCGAAACATGAAGGTGGACGTGAAGTGATTTGTATCTTGTTTTTTTTTTCCTTCGCTTTTGCTTATTTTAGTATTCAGTATTTATAATTTTCAACCAATTTTGAGCACACTGAACTAGCTACGTTTTAAAGAACTGATTTTCACTGCAGGGAAAGCTAGCAAACTGCAAAGAGTGAAGTAGTTTTAAGCAGTAAAAGCCATATATACGAGCTGCTTCACATCATCACTGACTGACTTTTGTTATTTACAGCCTCTTTATTTAATGTTAAGATATCAACTGTACTTCTTTCTTTGTGCTTTGAGTTATGAATACACTAACACGGTAAAGGGGGAGCTTTTAGGAGCGAGTAGTCAACGCTGGGGCTCTGTGGTGGTATTTAAAGTGATCTGCAGACTTTTTCATGGACCAAACCTATTTTTCTGTATGTTATGTTATAAATAAAGGATATGTAAAAGTAATATATGCGATTTCTGGTTCTTATCTTTTTATTTTGTCGTATAATTATCTCGTTTTGGATTCGTATTTCAAATGGAAGCTTATGAGGGGGCAGATGGATGTTTTCAATAAGGCTGCCCGTCTTTTTCTTTCAAGTATTTTAAAGGGAAAGCTAATTAGCAGTAGTGCCCCGAAGATGTGGTTTCAAAGTTGTCGGATCCTGTTATCCATCTATGTAGCAGAAAGAAAATGATGGAATTAATTTGCACAGTGCGTATTTTATCATATTTCTACATTCATTTTATTTTATATGTTACTGATGTGCCGAGGATAAGTGACCAGATGTACCTATTTACCCGGGACAGTCCCAGTTTTGAGCCCTGTGTCCCCTGTACCAGCAGATTTATTCCAGTTTTATACAGAAATGTCCCTATTTTTGACCAATTTGATACCTGCCAGTAGTAAGAGAGACATAAATCGTTGTTTGTTTAGGTAAAATACAGAAAAGCCGCTTAAAAATGACCAAAACACAAAGAAAATGCGACTATTCTGCGTCACATGTTAGTCATGAATGGGCCGAGTGCAGAAAGGTTTTCCTTAATTACGCACTCGTTTCACAATCTGGTCACCCTAGCTTAAGAAATTACCTCCAAAACAATGAATCTTGTCCATTTTAAAGGTGCATTATGTAACTTTTCTCGTGAGGGTTTACCTCCAACTTTGTCTCCATGGATTTTTTTTTTCAGTGCACGGAATGTTCCCCTGTACAAAATTAAACTCGTCTAGTGTCACTAGGTCAACTAACAGGTCATATCTATGGAGAGGCCGCTGCACTTACAGGAAGAATGGATGTTTCTTTTTATTTTGGAGCAAATATTTATAACTTACCTAGAAACCATATTAGACACTGGGCCAAAACTTCTCTAATGTACAGAGAGATAAGAAAACAACTTTTTATTTTAAGCAGTGTTTAAATTATTGGGGAAAAATGTGGTTCTTTTGTGTGTTCTCCCTTGTAGTCTAATGTAATTTTCTGTAATGTTCTGTAACATATTTTTTTTCAACTTTTCTTTAGAGATGACCTCTTGATTGGTGTAAAACTATCATTTATATTTACACCATGGACATATAAGGTGATCAGAATTTCAAAATAAAAAACTGGGACAACCCTCTCTTTTTGGTAGTTGGTAATAATAAAACTGTGAAATGAGTGTGTAATTACTGAAACTTGTCATGCAGAGACCATGACAACATGTGAGTCAATATAGTCACATTTTCTTTGTGTTTTGGTCATTTTTAAGCAGCTTTTCTGTATTTTACCAAAACAAATGACAATTTATGGCTCTCTTTACTGTTGATGGGGATCACATTGGTCAAAAAATAAATAAAAAATACGGGGCATCTAGGAGATTTCTTGTATGAAACTGGGACAAATCAATGGTTTTGGATAAATCTTATGGGACTAAATCTTTTCTGGGTTCAAAACTGGGACTGTCCCGGGTAAATAGGGAAGTTTGGTCACCCTAAGCTTTATTATCCCACCAAAAATATAAATCAAAATTAGAGAATCATTAGAACCTGTCTTGTGTAATTTAATAATGCCATACAACATCTTCATGGAGACAAGCAGGTGGCAGACGTGTATCCAGGAAAGTTACATAATGCGCCTTTTTTAAACCAAGTCTCACCACGAACGATCGGCGAACTAACAAAAAAAATCCAACTTGTACTAGAAACTTATTTTTAACCTAGTGTACTTGGCCTTGGAGCCTCGACAGAGTCTGCGGTCGTATCTGTGCGTTTGTGCGCGCTTTAGTGTCTTGTTTCAGGCTTGAGGGAGTGCGTGTCCCCGGGCAGTTGACCAGTCACAAACCCCCGAAGCTGCTGGAGGTGGGAGGGACTCTCGGCTCGGCACAGACCGGTATAAATAGCCTCATTCCCGGGTACGAGTCTCTGTCCTCACCGGCAGCTTTTGTGTACCACCGTGCGCAACCATGGCCCCCAAGAAAATCTGCGTCGTTGGCTCAGGAAACTGGTGAGTGTTTGGATCTTATTTGTATTCGTAGATCGTAGAAAGTAGAGTAAAATGCAGGCACTTTTTGTACTGAGCTGCAGGTTTGCTAAATATTTTTCCCAGCGGATAAAGTAATCTTTCTGTCGTAACATGAGATAAGGGAATTTTAAAGTTCACGCGTGCTGTTTTGTAAGAGTGGAGTGGAGCAAGTTAAGTTAAAGGTTTTCCATGTGAATAAAAAAAACTGCTCTACAGGGGTACTCAAGTTGCTTTTAAATATCTCAAACTAGTCTGTGAATGAAATAAGAAGTAACGTATTTAATAGAGAAAGTAATGAGGCACGTGATTTTTGTTTTTTTATGAGTTGATGATGAAGATTGATCAGAAAGATTGATGAATGATTTAATCTGTTGATCAAATCAAACTGGGAGGCGCTGTGAAGTCTGGTGATATTTCAAAGCGGTTTTAATCACATGTTTTACATTTTGACTATTTTCTGACACTACTTTGTTAGAACTGCTTTACAGTCATGGTTTAGTCCTGTTTGTGACCTGTTTAGGCCTGATATAGTCCTGTTATAATCCTGTTATTGACCTGATTTAGATCTCTTGAGACACAGTAACCCCAAACATTATTAGGCGGCACTAGGAGTGATAATCAATCAATCAGTCAATCAATCACTCAATCAAACAAACTTTATTTGTAAAAGTGCTTCACATGCAACAGAAAAATGTCAATGATTAAAAACTTTGAGTACCACCTCTGTTACCACCACAACTATGTGGGTTGATTTTCCCTAACCTCAAAACTAAAATGACCCCCAATTGAAATAGTTTCTGAACCCCCTGGAGTACAGACAAATGGCTGGACTCTTTGAGGCTCTGTAGTTTTGGCCTCTGACTTCTGATTTATGAGCTTTGTTCAGAAGAACATCAGAGGTCAAATCCCATCTCCAAAGGGATGATCTGAGAGACAATAGATTGAGCATTTGTTGGGTTTTGACAATTCCCTTTTGAAAAATGAAGTTAAATCACCAAAAATTACATTTTTGGACCCAGACTGGTTTGGTTCTGGTCTTTTCCAATACTGTTAATTTGCCCAGGAGTTTCACAGTTCCTTTTACCAGATGGTTGGCAAAAGGAATAGATAAAGACAAATTCTTGTTTTTTCTGTGAGATGTAGCACTTTCTTTTGAATTGTTATTTACAATGTTGTTTAGTGGCTGAGTGGCTCGTGCTCATGCCTCACATCAAGAAGGTGCCCACCTTTCTGTGAGTAGTTTACAAACTTTATGTTTCTCTCTGTGTTTGAGTGAGATTCCTTCTGGCACTACACTTTTCCCCATTAACTCAAAACTCCCACAATTGTACAAATGCTCCAACTAATGTAGCTTAAAGTGTCAAATGCAGAGGACAAACGTTCCTACGGGGAGGTGCACCTCAACCTTGATGGCAAATCTTTTGATTTTGATGAACATTGCCCAAAGATTGCCCCCCTGCCCTACATTAACTATGACATAAAAAACAGGTCATAACATTTAGCTGAGAATAAGGTTAGGACTGTTGTAAAAATCTGTTGGATTGGGGAAAAAAGTCTCCAAAATGGTGTCGATACACAGAAAGGCATTCACTTGTGGCCTTCTCAGTTGTGTGGTAGAGCTGCACTGAGTTGCCTAAACAAAGGCTTTAATAAGAAACTGCAGGCACTTAGAGATCGCACAGAGGCTCAAGGGCCAAGGGCAGCCCCTCTCGTCTGACAGGAGTACACATGTATTTACTGTGCCCTCTGCACCCGCTGCCCGTCGCCATGGTGACAGAGACATTATAGTCTCTCGGTGTCAGAGGTCGACATTGGTCAGTGAAGTAGCTATTTGTAAGTATAACAATAACACACAGATGGTTTTGTGAAACAAATATTAGTCCAAAAATCTACTGTAGTGGATTGTTTACAGTCAGTTAGTTTCTTTGATTTAGTTGTTCTAATATAATTTGGCAAATTGTGGAGCATTTGATCAAACAATTAAAACATGGAGCTGAATTACTTTGTTGATGTTGAGATTAAATTTGCAAATGTAGATGAGCATCGATATGCCAAAAAATTATAATCACAATTTTCTGAAAGCCACATCACAAAAGTGAACTCCTCACTGTGATTGGTTAAAGGAACTATATGTTAGATTATGTTTTAAATTTCATAAATCTGACCTATTTGCATGCCCAGATGCAAGGGAAACATGCTCAAATCAATATATATATATATATATATATATATATATATAATCCTGATTTATTCTTAATGGCAAAACACTGGATATGATGTCGCATTTATATGTTGTTTTGGTTGCCAGTTTCAATGCTCAAATCCAGTTGTTTTAAAACTGAAAGGACTCTCAGTGATCTCAGTGATCACTACCAAACTCCAATACCAACAGACAATCATGAACCAGTGCTAGTGCAGCCTCTGCAGCTCAGGGAGTCAGTTCTTTCACATGAGACATGGCCTGTCCATGGATGTAGAAAAACTTGTATGTGTCCTCTGTCTGTAGGTTAAGACAATGGAAACCCAGGTCCTGCGGTATTTGTGATTTATTTTTTTTAAAACAGGCCACACACAGTTCTTTTAAACCCGCCTGTCAATCACTGATCAGTAGGAGGAATGGATGACAAAGGTTTTAGTTTTCTTGACTGTATAACTCTCCCTTGGGGATGAATAAAAGCAAATCTGAAAATCTGTGTTTGTACACATAGCTGCATTAAACAGAAGCACTAACATAGCAGATCATTACAGGGATCACACCAGGACTGGATTTTCATTGCCCAGCCCTCACACTCAGACACCAATGTGGACTCACTGTGCAGATGCTCTTTCTGAAAATATTGGATCAGGATTTTATCTCAAACCCCTGGAAGAGGACAATTCCAGTATTCAACTGGCAACTTAATACAGCATGAAATCATAGCATGGTGTGCAGAGAGCAGAGCCTTAGCGTAGATTGAAAACCTGCTGGACCGCAAAGAAACATATAAGGCTTTTCTTCTGGTGAATAAACACATTGAAATGGTCCTCTAGTCTAAATCATCACAAATCTCTCAAGTGGAACTCTGGAAGAAGCGCTGGTATCAGAGGAAAGGATAGTTCCGTTATCAACTCAGTTTCCCCAAGTTCTGCCAACTTTTGTCTACCCAGCACTGGCAGTATGTAGGCCTGACTGTGATTCTGGTGTGTTAAACTGAGACAACACAACTTTACTCATGGGTTTCAGCTTCATATATGAAACATTTTGAGGATATTGAGAATATTTACTTTGTTAATCACTATGTCAACACTATTTTTTCATCACTCTGAAACCCATGGATTGGATTTCTTTGGCAATGGCTGAAAGTCTCCAGATTTTGTGTGAGTTTTGCCTTCAGCAGACACATTCAAGCAGACGTGGAGGCCAATAAGAGATCCTGGAGGGAGAAATGAGACACTTGTACAGGACTCATTTAAATGTCAGAGTGGAGGATTAACATTACTGCAGTGAGTTTAAATTGCCCCATGATTAGGAGTGGCTGCTATACGGTGCTTCAGTGATTTCTGATTATTGCAGCTCTGTTCGCAAGCAAGACTCTTTCATGATTGTGATTAAACATGATTTTTATGGATTATTCTCAAAAAGAATTGTTTGGCGATTTGACTAAAATCAAATCGATATCTGATTCCTGTGACGATTTTGTGAAATAAAGATAAACCTTTGCCGTAACCTGCCTCACGCTGGACAGATATATGTAGCACTCTGAACTGAATTCCACTTATTGTTACTCGCTGATTGGTCGAAGCGTCACAACAGCAGCTTTATTTCCCTCTTCAATCAATGTAAAGATACAAAATGTAGATGAATAGAAATTGTGATGTGGGAACTTGCAAGTCGTGACTTTTAATTAGCATTTCTACAACTCTTATTGTATATAAATACTCATATATGAATATACCATGGCTTTCTAAGTACAATTTAGCTTAAAATTCTACTGCAAACTGCAAAACTGGTTCTTGGGTTTAAAGACTTGAAATGACCTGAAGCTCAAAGCAGACGACTTGAACTTGACTTGGACTTATGGGCCTTTAACTCGAGACTTGAGTTGAACTTGCCTGTCTTTGACTTGGGACTTGACTCGGACTTGAGTTCAAAGACTTGAGACTAACTTGACACTTGCAAAACAACAACTTGGCCCCATCTCTGATCTGAGCTTTAAGGAAATGGTATCTTACATCGGCCTGTCACGATAAATATAATATTGACTTTATCGTGGGCACTTTTTCTTTATTGTAGTGGGACATTTTTGGCAATTTTTTTCTGCAATATGATAAGATTTGGAAGCTAAAATTACACATAGCAGTTACTTAAGTGTTAAACTCTGCTTTTTATTTACACAGCTCAACAATATATCAAAATATTTAACATTCACATCTTTTTTGTGATTAATTCTGCTTTATGGTTTGATTTAAATATTGTAGTTTATCGTCTTTACTTCTGCAATGTCACACTTGTTATCTTGACAGGTTTACACTCACCCGTTTTGTAAAATGTATTCACTCATCCATCCTGAATCAACGTGCACCTTTTTGGGGTTCAAAGTGTCTTACAAGGGCTGCTATACATGTTTTTTCTATGTTATTCTTTTATATTTATTGTTTCTTTTATTCCAGGGGCTCTGCCATTGCCAAAATAGTGGGGGCCAATGCTGCCAAATACGACACATTCGACACCACGGTGAACATGTGGGTGTTTGAGGAGACCATCAACGGGCGCAAACTCACAGAAATCATCAACAATGACCATGAAAATGTCAAGTATCTGCCCGGACACAAGCTGCCCCCCAACGTGGTGAGTAGTGTGGGCGTCTATATCACACTGCCAACGGTGGGTAGAGTCTGGAGCGGGTAGAGCTTATAAATATTGCTAAAAAATTCAAACAGTAGTCCAAGAAATTACTTAAATGTCCGATATTATGTAAAATTGACTCTTGTGCGTTATCTGGAGTTGTGTTTTGTTTCGTTCACAAAATGTTTGAGTAATTCTGCATTATCCGTCTGTCTACATCTCTAAAACTCAAAATGCTTTGTTCCACCTTGTGATCTCATGAAGTTGTAGTTTTCAAGTTAGAGATTGGCAATTCCAGGGCTTTAATTATCCCAGTGATTCTAGTGAAGGTGCATGGAGTTGATAAACATAATGGAGCACTTCCTGTATTACCACATGACAACACAAGGTGGAGCAGAGTGTTTTCAGAACTCAACATAAATATGCAGGGTTTGTGTGTTAAATATGTATGAATGAAACAAAACACGACTCCAGGTCTGTTTGTGATGAGGAAACAACATTATAACACAGATCAGAGAACAGTGTAATAAGGTAAACCCTTTAAGAATATTTTTAAGAGCAGCTTTACGTAACATCTGATTTATACTTTGAACTTGATTTAATTGTATAAAAAAGACCTCAAGTCATGCAAAAAAAAATCTGGTATTTTCAAAGAATAGACCTCAAAAACGAGAAATATTAAATCAAATCTGAAGGAGCGGTGCAAGAAATACATTTAATACTGCCAATGTAAAACTCGTCAGGAAGAGATTTACTCGAGTAAGAATATGGTTACTTCAAACTAATTATTACTCAAGTAGAAGACCAATTAAGTAAATGTAACTTATGCTTAACTTAGATGTGTCTGGTGCATGTCTATGTCTGTTATGGGTTTGTGTTTGGGTCAGGTGGCGGTCCCAGATCTGGCGGAGTCGGTGAAAGGAGTGGACATCCTCATATTTGTGGTGCCTCATCAGTTCATCGTCAGAGTCTGTGACACCATCAAAGATCACATCAAGAAGGACGCGGTGGGCATGTCTCTTATCAAGGTGAGTGGCTAGTCTTAATAAAAGGGGCACTGCGTAACATTTCTGGTGGAGGACCTGCCACCTGCTTGTCTCCTTGGAAATGTTATTGCTTTGTCTAGAATCTTCCACAGTATAGATTAAACCTATCTATCACAAGGGAGACAAGCAGGTTACAGCACTAATCCAAATCCACTTTATTTCTATAGCACATTTTACAAACAAAGCAGTTTCCAAAGTGCTGCACAGAGATCATAAAATGAAAACAACAAAAAAGTAAATTGCTAAAATGTGGTCATACCAGTCCTAAAAGGATAAAACCAGTAAAAGCAAATAAAAGCAAAACCATAAAAATCATAAAATAGCAGTAAATAAATAAAATAAATAAAAGACACAGAGGACCACACAACTCACACGGTGATAAAAGCAAAACAATACAAGTGGGTTTTAAGACAAGACTTAAAGCACAGGCAGAGCGTTCCACAGCTTTGGGCCGACCACAGAGAAGAGAAACTACGCTACATTACAAGTCAGATCTACGGTGAGTCACCCCTATTCACAGAAGGACTGGATGTTTTTTGAACAATATAAACACTTGTTATGAATAAATGCTAGATGGATATGTTTAAAGTCATACCATGGATCATTCTAGGAAAAGCAATAACATCTCCATTGAGACAAGTAGGTAGCAGACCCTCCACCAGAAAAGTTGCACAGTGTACCTTTAATACAACGACTAACCTAGCAGAGAAGTATTGTTAGTAAGAGCCTCTATGACTGTCAGAATTCGAACATCAGATACTATTTAATACTAAAACTAGACAACTCATTTGAGCAGCATCAATACTAAAAAGTAACACAGGACATAAATGAGCCTTTCCTGAATGGCATTAGAATGATGAGCAAATGAGCAAACATGTGGAATGGTTTAGGAAGAACTTGGACTAGAGCTACTACTCATTAGGGGCCAGGTTTTGTTTCTTACACCCCCACCCCCCTGACATGTTTCTGCCGGCCTGGGAATGCTGTAGTGCTTTTGGCTCTGGGAGGTACAGTAGGAGAAAGATAAAGGCTTTATTTGAAGAAGAAGGAGGAGATTTAAAGAGGACAAATCTCCCTACGTGGACAATAAAGTGTACCTTAACCTTATCTTATTTGATACTGATTTTGAAAGAACAATGAAAAGACATCTTTAAAGGACCTACTATATTATGCATAATGTGATATTCTGAACTTTTAGCCAAGTCAGAATGCTGTTACCTTCTCAAAAACATACCTGGAGTTGTGTTTTGCTTCAGTCACATGCTTGAATGATCCTTTCTTAGTCTGTCAGCATCTCCAAAGCTCAAAAGCTTTTACCCTGTGCATGTAAATTAAACAAAACACTCCAGGTATAATTTTGATGAGGAAACAAGATCACATGGATCAGAAAATAATGTAATATGGGCCCTTCAATGAACATAAAATATATATTAGTGTTTGTATACAGGCTTCTTCTTTTCCATTTCCATATTGTACATTTTACATTGTGGTCAAACTACTTCTGTAAAAGTTCAAGAGCGTAGTTCATAGTATTAATACTCTTTGCTACTGTTTGGATGCTGTTTTAGTATCTGGGGATCAGTTATTTTGACAACCCTATTGGGGAGTGATACGTGACTTGAGCCTGTTTATATTTGGAGACAAGAGGTTGTTTCTCATGCGGAGTTTTAGAAATAGGTTGTTACATTTACACAGACAGAAAAAATCAGACAACAAGAGTAATCAGATACTCTTCACTCTTATCTGCAGAGGGTCCGCTACAGATAAGTAAAATAATTTGATTTGATTTTCGGTGTACACAAAAGCACCTGGTGACATGTCGGGATGCCAGCGTTTTCATCTCTGACATGGGTATCAATACATCAGTAGTCTCATTTCATCCAACAAAAGGCCAACCAGGACCAATATCACGGAACTGATACCCGATTCAGCAAATTTTCCTTTATTGTGCACCAATATTTAATACCAATATGTTTATCTGTGCATCCCTAATTTAGTATTTGGAAGATAAAGGTCCTGCACAAGTGTGAACAACCAGAAAGAAATGGCTGTTTACATGACATTTAAGTAATCTGTTAACTCCAGAAATCAGATAACGATCAGATTTATGGAGTAAATGTAAACACAGCCACAGAAATAAGATAAGAATTGATTGGCAAAAGAATAATTCCCCAAGGTTAAGCAAATAAATGAAGGATGTGGATAAATTAACCCAGTGTTGTCTTTGGCTTTCCACTTTTTTTTAATCAAGCTTTGCAAAGATGTCTCTATAACTGTATTTATGATCTGATATTTTGTGTTCGAGGGCGTGGATGCGAGTCCCGAGGGCCTAAAGCTGATCTCTGAAGTGATCCGGGCCAAACTGGGCATCACCACGACGGTCCTGATGGGCGCCAACATCGCCAACGAGGTCGCAGAAGAGAAGTTCTGTGAGACCACCATCGGTGAGTTACAGAACAGACACGTGTTACACAAATATGTTTTTAATAGTACTCGTACATGAATGATTTTGGTTTTTGCTTTTCTTAATTTTGGAACTATAATGTCTTTGTTACCATGTGAAATTACCAATAAAGCTTCATTTTATAGATGCTGTAGGATGGAAATACGATGATAACTTGAATAAGGAGTCATATATGTATTTTACAGCCTTGTGTCCATGTTATTATTAAAAAAATTAATAATTCAAATGAAAAAGTCCAGCTCCCTGTTAGTTTGTATGAGTGTTTGAGCAGAGTTCTACACTTACATGTTTGCTGAAACTGGACATGATGATTAATATTTATCACTGGTACTAACCCGCCAAGAAAAGCAAAGTGATAATTAGAAAAATATATTAATCTGTCAATCAGAATCAGAATTAGTTTTATTCATCCCCAAGAGGAGCAAGAAGAAGAAGAAGAGAGTTCAAAAGTTAAGAAGTTTAAATAAAATATATAATAAAAATATCTTAAAGAAAATGGTATGAATAACATAATAAGCCTTCAACAAAACCCCCTGTGAAAATCAAACAAACATTTAAACTTTTTAAAATGATAAAAAAAAATTACTCTCATGACATATTTACATCTTTATAGTGATACTTTGCAGCCCCCAGCGTGATGTCCCTGCAAAGTCTCAGTACAGTTTTACACAGTGAGGTATGAACAGAATATTGCACAAGGGTCGGGAGAGAAAGTCCAGAATAGTCCTGATTTTGGTCCTCGTCCTCCGTGCATAACCGGCCTTCTGACGATCTTATGAGTCTATTAGGGTCCCTCACGTTCCTGCTCCAGTCCAGATGCACTTTCATGGACATACTGTATTTTTTAGGTTGCAAAGACAAATCTCTGGGGCCCATTTTGAAGGAGCTGATGCAGACCACAAACTTCCGCGTCACAGTGGTGGAGGAGAGCGATGTGGTTGAGATCTGTGGAGCGCTGAAGGTCTGTCGTGTTAAATTCAGTATAAATGTATGCTGTATTTCTAGTTGCAAGGACACAGAAGAAACTGTTTATTTTTTTTACTATGAACTAAAACTGTACAATCTAATTTCTAAGGTGTTGCATTCTGTGATTTATGTATTGCAGGTCATGTTTTTTTTAACAATATTGTACATTTAGAATACTTTTTTACACTTAATAATGCTACTTTATGGGTTGGTATCAGTATTATCGTTTATCGTCTCTATTTCCTCAAGCAATATACTGTATTTCAAATTTTATTGTTGTGTTGTTGTATAAATATAGCAGGACATTGTGACAGGATTTAAAAACCTAGTTCAACGTTTGTCATTTTTCCTTTTTGATATATGATCATATAAACCTGCCCTATCAGGAGAGCTTAAACACTGAAAAACAGTTTTTACAATAATCAAATTAAAAATGTGCCCATGATTTTTGTAGGTTTTTGACATTTCTTATGACACTGTATTCTCAATATTCAACTATTTCAATATATTGATAATAGAAATCTGCCCAACTGCCCAGTTATTGAACCTTCTTCCTGCCTGGTGTGTCCCACAGAACATCGTGGCGGTGGGAGCAGGTTTTTGCGATGGTCTCGGTTTTGGAGACAACACAAAAGCTGCAGTGATCCGTCTGGGTCTGATGGAGATGATCGCGTTTGCTAAAGTCTTCTGCACAAACTGTCAAGTGTCCGCCGCCACCTTCCTGGAGAGCTGCGGCATCGCCGACCTCATCACCACCTGCTATGGAGGAAGAAACCGCAAGATCGGAGAGGCCTTCGCCAAAACAGGCAAAGTAGGGAGCATTACACTTTTTCACTTGTTATTTCTAACTTTTGTTATAACACATTGCAACAAATTGGACAGATATCATTTCTGACACTAAAAATATTTGTTTCCAATTACTGGATTACTGTTTTGAAATCTGGCCAAACTCTCAGTGTTGTAGTGGTGGTTCAGTGATGCACTGAGAGGAGCAGCTGAGGCTCCTGAACACCTCCAGGATGAGTTGTTTTAGGAACACCTTGGGGTCCCTCTGGAGGAACTGGAGGAAGTGTCTGGGGTGCGGGAAGTCTGGGCCTCCCTGCTCAGACTGCAGCCTCCACAATCTGACCCTGGACAAGAGGAGGAAAATGGATTGAATAATTTGTTAAACTTTAATGTGATTTCTTTTTTCCTCTAGACGATTGAAGCGTTAGAAAATGAGCTGCTGAATGGACAGAAACTCCAAGGTCCTGCCACAGCAGCTGAGGTCAACCAGGTCCTCACACAGAAAAACATGGTGGAGAAGTGAGTGGAATTTGATCATTTTAAATACATCATTTACAAGCTGCTATACAGTACGTCTACTTATATGGACTGTAAATTGATGTTTTCAGTCTCACAACTTAAGTGATGTAGAATTTATCTTTTTAAAAGTTTCAGATATTACTATATGTAGAAACAAAACAAAACAAACATTAGTAATATTGATCTATTGTAACGGCAACTTTCCAGGCCTCAAGCCAAACTGTGTGAGATTTGAATATTATTTGAATGAATTATTTATGATGAATTATTATGTCCTTTGTTTGCAGGTTCCCTCTCTTCACTGCGGTCTACCAGATCTGCTTCAATGGCCATCCAGTCACAGATTTCATCAAATGTTTGCAAAACCACCCAGAGCATATGTAGCCTGAGCCGCGCCCCCTTCGAACTGACAATAAATGACTACTGTAACTGACATCTTAACAACGCACTCACAAATTACTTTACCTCTTTACGAATAGTTGTTCAATATGTGTGTTAATAATAATTTAATAGTTATTGTGTATTGTACATGTCAGTCTAACTCAAAAGTGCCTCAAATGTGTACTACGAAAATTACTGGAGGAGGATCCGTTACCTGCTTGTCGCCATGGAGATGTTATTGTTTTGCAGGGAAATGTTCCACAGTAAAGTACAGTATTAAACTTGTATACAGTATCGTGTATTTCTGTAATTACAGGTGCTTTTTATTGCTAAAAATCTCCTGAATAGGGATGTAACAATATCCTAATCTCTTGGTACGATATTGTCACGATATACATCTCACGATACGATATTTATTGCGATATTTTGGAGAGGCTGATATAATTGTAGATAGGACACTTTTTTGCTTTTTAAATACATTGACAAGATTTTGGTGTGAATTGTTACTGTCATAATCCCAAAAATTCAAGTAAAAAACATATATCTTCATGTTGTCTGCGCTGAAATGAATCATGGGATATGTAGTTATTAGCTATTGCTACTTTAAAACAATACATTTAAGCAAAGGATCTTGTAATTTGCTATATTATGACGCCCTACTGTATTATTGTGAGACTTCTGACGATACGATATCATATTTTTCGGTTATTGTTACATCCCTAATCCTGAGCAGTATGCATTCTTACTGGAGCAGGGCCACCTCTGCACAGATCTGACCTGTAACTGTCTCCATGGACAAAAAAAAAATCATGTCATACTAAGGAGCATTCTAGACAAAGATCTCCGTAGAGAAAAGCAGGTGCTGGACCCTCAAGTAGTGCACTTTTAACTTAACTGTGATTTTTAAATAAACACATTTGTTCTGTTTTTTTTTTGTTTTTTAGTAACGTTGTGTCGCGTTATTTACTCATATGTGCTAGACCTTTAGAGTTGCAGTGTGTGAGTGTAACGTGAGCTTTGACTGACACCCTAAACTCTTCACCTTTACCATTTCCTACAGTGTCCACTCTGACCTTTGTGAAGAAGAACCAGCGCCTAACGCAGCGTTCACATGTACACTCATATTTATTATTTACAACTTACAACATTATGACAACTGTATGTTTAATGTATGTGTTCACTTAAATCTTACGCAGGTTTTAAAGTTCGGACACAATTTCCCGTCTTATTATAAATTAAAGCTGCATTATGTAACTTTTCCGGTCAAGGGCTGTCACTATGGAGATGCCATTGCCTTGCTTGGAATGTGCCACAGTATCATTTTCAGCTTATCTATTTATCTTGTGTGTATTCAGTTACAGGTGTTTTTATTGCTGAAAAATACCTGCATTCTTACTGTACGCTGGCTCGCCTCTCCACAGAGCTGACTTGTAACTTGTCTCTCTGGGGCACCTCTTTCATGTCTCTGTGAATACTGCGGAACATCACAGGCAAATCAATAAAATCTCCATGGAAACAAGCAAGTGGCAGGCCCTACACCCAAAAGTGACATAATGGACCTTTAAGTATACATTGGACTGCATAGAAAATAGTTTGAATAGTTCTTGCGCCCTCTGCTGGCTACAATGAGGAGTGTGAAGCAGGTTAAATAAGGCTAACAGCAGAGACTACAGATATCATAGATGATTATGAGCAAGAGATAAACATGTAAACAAAACAAAACATGTAAACAAAGTGAAACAAACCCACCTCCAGATACAGTATATTTACATGAAGGAATATTGAAATCATATTCCACTGATTTTCAACCAATTTCAAAGTATAAATATTGCCACATTTTAGCATCGCTGCATAATTTGCCACTAAACTCCTTTGCATAGTTATCGAGTCGACTGGACTATGAGATTTCTAATAATACAACCCGAGTGAAGGGGCAAATGGCAAACTATATTTAGGCACTGGACCACATACACTGCAAAAAAGTTAGTTAAAATGACTATACTGCCCTACAAAGGCAAAAAACTTTAACTCGCCAAAGTGTCAAACTGAGAACAATAACTCTTATGCCATTCTGCTGTGGTTTCTCATGTGGTTTTGGATATTATGGTTGTCATAGCCCTTTATTTTCTTGTTAAAACAATCAAATTGGCCCACGATATTTATTTACATGATAAAGGAGGTCTCAAATACCCTCAAAGTTACATTAAATTTTTGACGAAACCTGATGTTATGGTGTTCTGCCTTTGTAGAGCAGTAAAATTTAGAATAATTATCATGATTAGAGTAGATTTGAACTTATTTTGCCATTGGAGATTGAGTTAGAATTAGTTTATTGAGAAATGAGTTTTTATTATTTAAAGATGCACTACGTAACATTTCAGGTGTCGCTTGCTCGTCACCGTGAAGATGTCATTACTTTGCTCATGATGTCATTCATCGTTTCTGTCTTGCGTGTATTCAATTCGAAGTAGACATTAGAAATACATGCATTCTTGCCGTGAATCGCCTCTACACAGATCTGATCTGTGGTCTCCATGGAGATAGTGGTCCCTATACTATGGATAGATTACCTTTATGGACAAAAATATTGCCTTGAGGAATAGAGATTTCTGTCTTTGTTTGCGCAATTTTCTACTCCATTCCAAAATTAGAATAAAAAAATAACACCATCAAGTCCAAATGTAGTTTATATTCAGATTTTTAAAAAATAATTTCTAACTTTTTAGCAGTGTATCAGCCAGAGTGCACAACAGGTACGACTATCCTGCATTTTAAGATCTTTTTGTAGTTGTTGTAATACCTTTAAAAGCCACTTGGGAGTGCCATTACATCAATCACAATCGCATCCACTTTGTCAGGGTGTCTCACTTTAATACCAGCAGGCTCCTGAGCAGATAACTTATCAAGACCATTGCTGCGATAAAATACACCGTAAAACTGCATCATGCTCCTACGTAAGGCGGGGGGAATTGCACTAATGTCTTAAATGAAGAGGCGGGACATGTCTCTCACTTCCTCAATTCCTGTCCTCACTCCTCAGGGCGCAACCAAAAAGCGTCAAGTCAACTTTATTTGGATCGCAACGTGGATGCAAGTTACAAGATTGAAAAGTAAATGTCGAGTGCGCACAAGTAGAGGTGGACTTGTTGGCAGGAGAAATCTTGTGCTGCTTGATTTTCAGGTTTTTGGAGAAGTCCCCCGGGGTAGGCATATACTAAACAGTTACAATAATTGCACAACATACAAAACGAAAGTGAGGATAGAGCCAAGTATTTAGACCCCGGGCGAGTCTCTATAGGCCCTGTCAGTCAAACACATTTCATTTTTGCACTGGCTTATTTCAAAGTCACTTTCAGACAACATTACTAACCTTATCTGCCTTCTATATGCTATATAAAATCCTTTTTTTTCTTTTTCTTTTTTTTCCCCAATATTTTTATTAATTTTCAGACAAAAAAAAAAAACAAAACAGATGGACAATTGACCACATTATTAACACAGGTAAACATATAACCGAAAAAAATAATAATAATAATAATAATAATAATAATATTAACGATAACAAGCCAATTCACACACTCACACACACATACACATTCACATATTCACTAAACAATATTTGCACAATACAATTTATCAGTCGCAGGTAAGTCTGAGATTTATATTCAGTGATCATATGTACTTTAAAAAAAAAAAAAAAAAAAAAAAGGTAGAAAATAAATAAATAGAAGAAGAATAAAATATAAATTAACTGATTAAAGAATTAAATAAAGTAAAATAGGTAAATAAAAAAAATATATAATAATGATAATAATAATAATTATTATTATAAAATCAATTTTAAAGTTGCACTATGTAACTTTTCTGGTGTCTTGTCTGCCACTTGAATGTCTCCATGAAGAGTTTTTGTAGTACTTTTTATTATCCCTGTAGGGAAATTGCTCAGCTTGGAATGTTTCACGCTCTGGAGCTCAACAGTGACTGCTCAGTTCAGAAGTTCAGAAATTTTCATTCAGTTTTTCATAGACTTTTTTAAAAAACTCAAATATTAAGAGTTTACAGAGGTTAATCAGCTGTTACTGTCCATAACACAGTTGTTTTGAGTCTAAAAATCGTGCTTAAAACTCAAGATATACCGACTTATTTTAATAACTTTGCAGATTAGGAAGATTTTGAAACAGCTTTTAAATAAACTCATGACTTGTGCTCATTAATTACCACACAGCTGATTACATCTGAGCAAGCTTTCAAACTTTTAGTATTAATTTCTTTTTCGTGAAGTCTACGTGAACAATGAATTGAAAATTTACTTTTGGAACCATAAACGAGCAGGCAATGTTGAGCTTCATTGCATTAAACACAGAAACACCACTGAAATTATGCATTCAAATTGTGAGCAGGGTCGCCTCAACACAACTGTGACCCACAAACCTGACCTGGCGGTGTCACCTGCTTGTGTCCATGGAGATGAGTTTAATGTCAGGCTGTGGAACATCGGCAAAGCAATAACATCTCCAGGCCATAGAGATGAGCAGGTGACGGAGCCTCTACCAGAAAGGTTCAGTTGAAAACGTTTAAATATGACCTTTAAAATCCCAAAGTGAATTTATGTTAATGGGTTGTAATACTGCACCAAAATATGAAAAATATACAGTTACATTAAACTAGGGTGACCAGATTTTCAAAATTCAAAACTGGGACACACCCGGGTTGGGATGACTGGTATAAATAACACTGTGAAAAGAGCGTGTAACATTGTGCATTCTTGTGTCAGTCATAATCTGAAACACTTCTGTTGCTGCATTTTTTTTGCTTTATGGTCATTTACAAACACGATTTTCTGTATTTTGGCTAAACAAATGACAATTTAAGCTCCTCTTTACTGTTGGCGGAGATCAGATTAGTCAAAAACTGTGATAGTCCTGTTTAAGGCCCAATGTAGTCCTAGTTTAGTCTTAGTTTAGTCCTGGTTTAGATCAAATTGGTCACAAATAGGGACACCTGGGACATTTCTTGTATAAAACTGAGACAAATCTAGGTTGACCAGATGCCCCTATTTACCCAGGACAGTCCCAGTTTTGAGTCCTATGTCCCCTGTCTCGGCAGATTTATCCAAAATCATAAATTTGTCCCAGTTTTATACAAAAAATCTCCCAGGTGTCCTTATTTTTGACCAATCTGATCCCTGCCAACAGTAAATAGAGGCATAAATTGGCATTTCTTTAGGTAAACAACAAAAAAGCTACTTAAAAATGACAAAAACACAAAGAAAATGTAACTATACTCACATTAGAGCCACGTGCTTACATTTAATACACACAGTCCAGTGTCAAATGATTATAGCAAACATAGAGCGACCAGACTTTCAAAATTCCAAAATGCAACACACTTGGGATGGTTGGTATAAATAAAATTGTGAAAAGAACATGAAAAGATTGTAGATTCTTGTGTCAGTCATAATCTGGGGGACTTCTGACACTGCATTATTTTGCTTTATGGTCATTTGCGAACACGGTTTTCTGTATTTTGGCTAAAGAAATTACAATTTATGCTCTTTTTTTCTGTTGGCGGAGATCAGATTAGTCAGAAATTTTGATTTAGACCTGATATAGTCCTGGTTTAGTCTTAGTTTAGTCCTGGTTTAGACCGGGTGTAGATCAAATTGGTCAAAAATAGGGACACCTGGGAAATTTATTGTATGAAACTGAGACAAATCACTGTTTTTAGATAAATCTGCTGGGACAGGAGACACAGGGCTCAAAATTTGGACTGTTCCCGGTAAATAGTGATGTCTGGTCACCCTAAATTAAACATGATTTCCCTGTTGACGTGTACCTTTCCCACGTCTTATTGTGAAAAGCGGAAGTGTCGCGGTGACGCAGGACGCGCTTGACGCCGCTGCGCTAAAGTTGAGTCTTGTGGCAGTTCACATCACCGCCGCCAACACGTAGGGCAAAACGCTCTGCAAGTGTCTCCCTCCGTTACCTTTTGGGACTTAAAGACTTTCGTTGGACCTGCTTCAGACTGCTGTTACCAAAGACTTTAATCCAAAAATGGCTGCTCTTTCAGCCTGGTTCTGGAGTGAGAGGTTCTGGCTGCCGCACAACGTCACCTGGGCGGATCTGTCGGAGCAGGCGCCCGGGGTGGAGTATCCAAAGCCCGCACACTTGTTTACAGCTTTACCGCTAGCTTTGGGGCTCTTCGGCGTTAGGATACTATTTGAAAGGTGTGTATATTTACTCATCTTCAGCTTTTTTCCACTTTCTACAGCGGTTTTGACTCACTTCACAGAGAAGCATCACGATAGGTTTCCTCATCCGTAGATCTTATTCAAACTCGTCTCACGCCTTCCTACTTCCTATCCGCAAACTAGTGTGCAACTCAACGTGCTCTCTAAGTTGAGTCATTTCCACTTTTGCGTGTAAAATCGCACTTTCACATGCCCATCCTGTCCTCTCCTGCCCCATAAAACGAGCTCTCTCCGGGTACAGAAGTTGTAACTTGCCCCGGGGGGAGACAAAGTAGCGGGACATACTAGTTGGGACATACCCATCTCCTCAACCTGCACTGACAAAATATGTGGAGCATATCTTAGGTCAGTCAGAAGTCATGTTTTTTTTTACGCTTACAACACGTATTTTAAAGGTGCAGTACGTAACTGCGTGTCTCCATGGGGATGTAACTATTTTACCTGTACGTACATCTATCCATACCTGTTGAATACTGTGATAGAGAAGTTTATCTTACTGTGGAACATGCCAGACAAAGCAGTAACATCTCCATGGAAACAAGAAGGTGGCGGACCCTCTACTAAAGTTACACAGTGCATCTTTAAATTGGTATCAGAGCGTGTTATGTAGTTTGAGTTGATCCTTTTAGGGAATGTTTTTGCTTAGGGTGACCAAGCGTCTCTATTTACCTGGGACAGTCCCAATTTTGAGCCCTGTGTCCCCTATCGCGTCAAATTTCTTCAAAACCAGTGATTTGACCCAGTTTTATACAAGAAATGCCCTAGGTGTCCCTATTTTTGACCAATTTGATCTACACCAGGTCTAAACCAGAACTAAACCATGACTACATCAGGTCTAAACGACAATTTTTGACTAATCTGATCCTCGCCAACAGTAAAAAGAAGCATAAATTGTCTTTTGTTTAGCCAAAATACACAAAACCGTGTTTGCGAATGACCATAAAGCAATAAAATGCATCGTCAGAAGTCCCTCAGATTATGACTGACACAAGAATCCATAATCTTACACGCTCTTTTCACAATTTTATTCATACCAACGCGGGTGTGTTTGGAAATTTAAAAGTCTGGTCTATAAAAGGCTATAATCTTTTGACATTGGACTGTGTGTATAAAATGTATACAAAACTTCAGCTTCCTGATAAGAAAATGTTTTCATAAAATTTTTATTTGGGTCTCCACTGACCTCATCTTTTTCTCATAAAGTATCTCAATTTCACTATGCAAAAAGTAGCACGCATCATTACATTTCTTGGATTGCTGTAATGCCGTGTTCAGTTTGAGCCTGCCCAAAATCTTACACTTCCTGTCCATCCCAACAACCCACTGCACAGTGAACGTGATTTGATTTAGTCACTAATTAATTAAGCGAGCTGATAATAAAAAGCGTGCTAATGTACTGATAAACCTCAGTGTAAGTCAAGTATGCCCGTCTTATCTTGACCAACCCACAGACCGCACTGCCAACTTGATGATGTAGTTGCAGTTATTTTTAGAACTTTTTTAGGTGAGTAGATTTCCAGATAAACATCAGAAATTCTCACACGCTACAGCAGTCGACAATAGAAAGTCTCGGTTGATGAAAGATGCCCTGGTTCAAAAAGGGGGCGTGGCTGTAGTAAAACCTCTCAGAATGATTAAGTTTTAAAGAGCCCATGTCATGCTGTTCACTTCTGATCTTATATAATGTTGTTTCCTCATTATAAACATACCTGGAGTTGTGTTTTGTTTCGTTCACACATTTAACACACAAACTCTGTATATTTAGGATGAGTTTTTCCCAGTATTGTGGTAATACAGGAAGTATTCATTACAGTGATTTGGATAATTTCACCCCAGGAATTGCTCACGTCTACTGAATTAACAGTAAAAAGGTAGATGTTGACATGAAAACGACAGCTTCAAAAACATCTAAATATCGATATATCTTATTGTTTAATGTGATGATACAGTATCGATATCGTGGGTTGCTGTATCGATATATCGATATATATTTTTTGGTATATTTTACTAAATTATTTTGTTACAGAGCTACAGTTTTGTTGTTTGTTCAGAGAAAGGAAACTCATTTATGCAACACATTTTACATTTTCACTTTTTTGATGAGTAAAATGGGTGTTTTTCATATTCACTTTACACGAGAAGTGGTTTAACAAAGACTTTTAGTATCACAGCCATGATTTAACTTTTATTTTTATTGAACCGTATCGAATCGATTTGAAATATATCGTATTGAATCATATTCGAATCAAAAGCTCAATGTATCTTGATATGTATCATATCGTGGCCTATATATTGAGATATGTATTGTATCGCCAACTTCTGAATGATACTCAGCCCTATTTATGACATCACAAGGTGGAACGGAGCATTTTGAGCTTGACAGACTAACAAAACACAGCTCTGAGTATGTTTTTTGAGGAGGTAACAACATTATAACATGACTTAAAGTTCACAACAATTGTTCATTATGTAGGATGTTTAAAATGCCTGTTGTGTTATATAAACCATTGCTTTATTCAACAGTCTCTGGTATGTCTCTCACTATCTTGATGGTTGTCTGTCAGTTGGATATGTCATCATTATACTTCTAAGAAACTCAGAGCTGAGTACCTGTGGCATATACAGAATACACCATCCTTTATTATTAGTTAGTTAGTTAGGCTGCATCCCCAATGTACAAAACACTCTGTTCCACCTTGTGATGTCATTTAGAGGTTGTTTTCAAGTTAAGAGCTACATTTTACCTTATGTTTAGTAAATATAGACAATTCCAGGACTGAAATTATCCAAATGATTCTTGTGAAGGTGTATGGAGTTCAAAACAGAGGTGCACTATCTGTCTTACCACGTGACATCACAAGGTGGAACACAGTGTTTTCAATTTGAGAGAAGAGCTCAGCCTAAATATGCAGGATTTATGTGTGTAACATGTGTGAATGAAACGAAACACAACTCCAGGTATGTTTGTGATGAGGAAATTTTAAAAAAAAGCATAATACAAGGCCCTTTAAAAGCTTATAAAACCAACATTTTATTCCGGTTCACAGTTCACAAACTGTGATCATTTAACAATTTACTACAAAAAAATTACAAAATGTTTTTCTGGAATATAAAATCTTTTTTTGTATGATTATGTAAACATACTGTACAGCCATATTTTTAGCCTAATCACTCTTCTATTTCTATTTTTACGCATTAGTCTGAGAAATGCACTGAGGAGAATCTGGGGCAGCTTAGACAAAATATTGGTGCCAAATATCAGCTAAACTTTCAATATTGTACCGATACCAATGTATGAGGAAACAATTCGATATCACAGATGCCAATATTGGAGCAGATATATTGCCCTTTCCTAATTTATTTTATATAAAAATTCTTCATTGTCCTTTATTGATTGTCCATGTCCATTATAGGGTTGTCAAGATACTAAAATGTCAAACTCAATCTTGATACTAAAGAATAGACTACAGATTTTGATGACAATATTTTTCACAATATTGTAATTTTCAACACATAATATTATAATAGTATTTGTTTGTATCATATGGTCTTAAATAGGGCTGGGTATCATTAAGAAGTTGCCGATACGATACATACCTCGATACATAGGCCACGATACGATACATGTCTCGATACAGTGTGCTTTCGATTTGATACGATCTATTTCAAATCGATTCGATACGTTTCAATTAAAAATAAAGGCTAAATCATGTCTGTGATACTAAAAGTCTTTTTTAAACCACTTCTTGTACAAAATGAATATGAAACAAACATTTTAATCATCAAAACAGTGAAAATGTCAAATGTGTCGCATAAATGAGTTTCAAAGCGACAAAACTGTAGCACTGTAACATAATAATTTTGTAAATTATACCAAAAAAATGCTCTTGACGATATATCGATACAGCAGCCCATGATATCAATACTGTATCATCACATTAAACTGTATGATATATATCAATATTTCGATATTTTTGCACACCCCCAGCCTTTCACTCGTTCTATGTTTTGGTTTGTTTTCAATTTCAATACCTGCTCAAACAAGTATCCAGTTTCAATACTAGTTTTATTATCGAATTAGTATCTGATTTGAGCTACTTTTGATAAGCCAAGGCCATTATTCCCCCATGCTTTTACAATCACAGCACAGCACCATGATCAAACAGTCCTCTTCCATCTGCCATTGTAAAGCTTTGCACCATTGTTACTGTACCGGACCTGTTCAATGGTTAACCCGGGCTTTTGTTGGTCGCTGAGGTTCAGAAGGCAATAATGTGATGACGAGGCATAGCGCTCTCCCTTGGACTCGATTCAGCTCCACTCTGAAGAGGAGATGACCTGGAGGCAATACACTTTATCATACCATGTGGTGTTTGCCGTTTCATCGGTAGATATCAGGTTACAGGGCGCATACATAATACACAAGCAGAGGAGACAGTAGGTGGAAATCACAGAAGGGAACTACTACTGTGTCACAACGCAGGAAGAATGGCCCATTGAAGTGTGTATGACTTAATGATTTTTTACAATTCTCTCATTTCTACTTAATTTGGTAATACCTATAAAATAAATTATAGTTTTAAACCAATCAAGAAGCAATTCGTGAAGAAAAGTTGAAAAAATAATTACAGCTAGGGTGAATTCTGTCCAAAAGTTTGGCACAATTTACACCAAAGAAACAAATTAAGGTGTTTTCTAATCTTTTTAATTATCAAATATTAATTCCTGTGTACATTAGAGGAGTTTTGATCCAGTGTATTACATGGTAAAGTTATGGAATTTCCTAATGTGAAGTAATAATTTAAAATCAGGAAGTACAATTTTAAACCTAAAAAATTGCCAAACCGAGGAAGATATTGTAATTTCTTTAGTAAAATCTCAAATATAATTGTCTCATTTGACTAAAACACATCTGAGACAATTATATTCAAGATTTAACTAAAGAAATTACATTCTCTTTCCCAGTTTGACAATTT